TTGTCAGACCAGTTATGTACGGTTTGAAAACACTAACTAAAACTAAAACTAGTAAGTTAATCTGTTTCAATCAACATCTTACATTTGTTGTTATTGTTGATTAGATAATAAAAGTGCTTGATCTTGTCAGACCAGTTATGTACGGTTTGAAAACACTAACTAAAACTAAAACTAGTAAGTTAATCTGTTTCAATCAACATCTTACATTTGTTGTTATTGTTGATTAGATAATAAAAGTGCTTGATCTTGTCAGACCAGTTATGTACGGTTTGAAAACACTAACTAAAACTAAAACTAGTAAGTTAATCTGTTTCAATCAACATCTTACATTTGTTGTTATTGTTGATTAGATAATGAAAGTGCTTTATCTTGTCTGACCAGTTATGTACGGTTTGAAAACACTAACTAAAACTAAAACTAGTAAGTTAATCTGTTTCAATCAACATCTTACATTTGTTGTTATTGTTGATTAGATAATGAAAGTGCTTGATCTTGTCAGACCAGTTATGTACGGTTTGAAAACACTAACTAAAACTAGTAAGTTAATCTGTATCAGTCAACATCTTACATTTGTTGTTATTGTTGATTAGATAATGAAAGTGCTTGATCTTGTCAGACCAGTTATGTACGGTTTGAAAACACTAACTAAAACTAAAACTAGTAAGTTAATCTGTATCAGTCAACATCTTACATTTGTTGTTATTGTTGATTAGATAATGAAAGTGCTTGATCTTGTCTGACCAGTTATATACGGTTTGAAAACACTAACTAAAACTACAACTAGTAAGTTAATCTGTTTCAGTCAACATCTTACATTTGTTGTTGATTACATAATGAAAGTTTAGTTCCAGTAAACTCATTTTCTTCTATAAATGGAATACTTGGTAATATGGTGCAATACTGATTTGCATAAGACAACTGAACCATTTCTAGATCAATTAGCTTACTGAAGTTGATTCTGTGTGTGTGCGACTTTGTTGCATCCAGATAAATGGACACAACTTTCATGCTAGAACCTTTCTGGTTGATGAGAAATATGTAATAGGCTGGATACTGGTAAAGTTACATTTCCTTCTTGTGTTATAAATATGTAGTAGGCTGGATACTGGTAAAGTTACATTACTTTCTTGAAGTTAACAAAGCTGTTTACCTGGTCATTACATTTTCACAAAAACTTATCTCAAAATATCATTTTCTCTATGTATCTTGAGATTTTAGGCTATAATTAACTTGCAGGCAGTTTTTGCCACCACTGCTAAACAGTACAGAGTGGAACATATTGGTTTTTACCTGTTCATTTGTCTTAATCTTGTAGACAGGATATCTCAAGATTAGATAGATGAATTTTAACCAAACTTATAAACAGATATTACATACATATTTCTAAACCTAGTTAACAGTTGAAGGTCAAGGTACTTAGAAAATCTTGTGTAAAAGTACTACATTATCAAACTAGGGGGGGACTTAAACATAGTATAACATTATTGGGGGGACAGGTGTTTCATAAGCATAATGTTCACTTGTTTGCTTTAAGTATGACCATTGAAGTAATTAGACGCCAGAAGTTCATGATCTAATTTGCATTTACCACTATACTTTAATTCTCAAGTTGGTAATAGTCTTGTACAAAAGACAGTTGTACTTAATAAACAATATTTAATTATGGATGGTAAAGTTTCTTACTACTGTGTATTTATTAACTTGCTTTGTATGTTTTCTTTACTTAGGAACCATTGGATGCTGAGTGTAACCTTGGTAATATTAATAAAACTACAGATTTCTGTAACCCTGTGTATGATGCTGTGATTTTGGAGGCTGGGAAGTTAAGTGAGCTGTTTGAAGTGCCATCAGAGGTGCTTGGTAAAAATTTAACGGGAGAATTCAACTATACATCCAACACGGAATGTGCAGCGTTGTCACAAGGTAACGGTGTAAAGCTGTCATCATCAGGGACTCGTAAGCGACAGGCAGCACTGGATCCTACACATGTTGACACAGGCAAAGACACTCAGCATTTGGTAGACGAAGACAAATCTGAATGTTTATCTTATTAATATTACAATATTTGTTTGTGTGAGCCTGATACATGGACACAACTTTCTGTTATCTGTGTGCTAAGTATTGAAAGTTATATCAAGGGTTAAATAGGACATCTCTACTCTGAATAAATTTTCAGCAATTCCACAAATACTCCTAATAATATGTGTGTGTAATAAAACTTTATAAAATAATTTATTTAACCAGAAAACAACACTTTTTTTGGAAAGTAATAAGCTTAAGTTCAAAATTGATGAATACATTTTGTATATTTTATAATGTTTTATTTGTTATCTTAAAATTTGTTTTAAAAAAATCAGGTTACAAAATAATTTGTCTTATTATCCACAGATACATTTAAAATACTTGTTTATTAGACATCTAACCTGCTAATGGCTTTCATTACATAGTAGACAAAATTAATAACATATAACACAAGAAGGAAA